CAGATTGTTGGCTGGAAATCAAATTGTTTTCAGTAAGATAACCGTAAACCTGGTCGTAGATGATACGCTCAAACACCTTAGCTACTATAGGGACGATAGAAATTGGGCGATAATTGTTTAAGTCGGAGTGATTTCCCTCTTTGAAAAGTGGAATAACTTTTGCGCATTTCCATTCCTGAGGGAAAATACCTGATCTGATGGACTGATTAAAAATAGAACACATAGGATCAGCAATCAGATCGGCGCATTCCCTAAGAAGTCGCGCAGATATCATATCTAGGCCTGTGGCTTTCGATTTACAAAGCTTAGACAAAAGCGAGAACACTCTAGAAGGATCAGTACATTTTAACTCAAAACGTTTGTCAGTTCCCTCAAGGTAATGTAGGTGTGATGGACCATTATTAGAATAAATCTGGCTAGCAAGCTTGGGTCCAATAGAAGAAAAGTGATCGTTGAAGGCATCGGCCAGCTCAGGAGGGCCGTAAATAGAGTTACCGTTGCTTTTGATTTCTTTTATGCAACAATTATTAGTTTTCCTTGACGTGAGCTCATTCACAATCTTCCAGGTCTGGCGCGAATTGCCTTCGTTTTCATCTAATGCCCTTTTATAATAGAGCTCTTTTGCTTTTTTAATTTCGTTATTAACTAGGTTGCGACATTTTTTAAATTGTAGCCAGTCATTAGCATCCTTAGAACGCGATGCTTTCAATTTAAGAATATCTCTGTCATGCATTCGTTTCTTTAAGTAAGGTGTGATCCAAGGTGACTTTGAGGCGCGAGCCCGTTTTACATGAAGTGGGGCATGCTTGTTTACGCATTCCAGGAATAGTTGTTTCCATGCAGCCCACATTAAATTAGGATCAGAATAATTTTCGATGTTACTCCAATCTTGTTGACATATATCGTTGCGAAAGTGATCAGAGTTAAAATTCTTAAATTTCCTATATCTCAGGGTAGTATGCTTATACGTTGTCGATTCTATAGAAACTTTACGAAAGGCGTAAACTAAACTGTGGTCGCTGATGCCTATATGTGAGACCCCTGAACAGACGACCCTATCTGGAGTATTTGTAAAAATTAGATCAATTAGAGTAGATGATTTGTCGGTAATTCTAGTATATTCGGTTATTAACTGATCAAGGCCGTAAACTTCAGCAATATTAGATAAGATATTTGTACTGTTGTCAAACTTAGGCGCGGCCATATTACAATTCAGATCTCCTAAGACGTAATATTCGATATTTTCAGAGTCTAGTTTTCCAATAAGTTCTTCAAATGGTTTAAAAAGATCAATAGAAGAATCAGGGGGTCTATACCAGGTCATAACGGCAAAAGGCCTTGATCTGGGTTTCTTGATTTCGACAGTCAGACTTTCTAAGTGTTCACATATTAGGTCAGAGCGAACAGAATAATTGATTTCGGAACGAATAAAAAAACAAACACCCCCTCCAGACCTACCGTTGGTAGAGCGATCGCTACGAATAGATTCATAGCCAGAAATATGAATTTCATTATCGCTTATTGTGTCATCCAATTTAGATTCGTTTATGGCTAAGATATCGATAGGTCTGTCGGAAAGCAAAATTCTTAGTTCGTCAATGTGTGCAGATAGACTATTAATATTTAGCGAGGCTAATTTAAAGCCTCGTTTAGACGGGAGAAGTTCATGAGAAACGATTAGATTTCCAAGGTCGCGATTACGCTCTGAATTAAACGAACGGCGAATAGGTCAATTACATTCATCTAATTTATTCGCGAAGTTGTTATACATTTTGGCAATACCTGTCTCACCAAGATGAAGTCCTCCTCTATTTAGGTCCGTAGAGTGAATGTCATCGTGGCGTATGAAGTGCCACTGACGCTGATTGCAGAATTTTCGAAGCCTTTTATTGACAGCATCAACATCGCCGCTAGCTGAGAGGTCCGATCTTGTGACCAGCTCTGATATTATTACTTGGGCATCAGTGGAGCTTTCAATTTCCCTCGCTAGGTCAACGATGTTATCGGCGATTTCGCTAGGGGATAGTTTTCCAATGTCGTTAGTACCAGCATGTAAAATGATCTGGTCAGGCTTCTTGTCCAGTGTTGGTTTCACATAATGTGACATATCACTTGTTGTAGCTCCCGCGAAGGACTTTACAACAACTCGGTGGCCAACCTCTTTCCCTAATTGCCACCCTTGTATGTTTCTGATAATAGAATCGCCGATAATGACGGTGGTCGGCGAGGGCCCTTCTTGGTTGTGGTTAAGAGTATTAGAGCTGTTCCGAGAACTCTTGTTTGGCGGCTTTTTCTTGCTCGATTTGCTTTGGCGATTCTTCGTTGTTTTGGAAGATAGAGATTTAGATGATCCTTTGTTTTGCTTTGTGTCCGCCTTTGTATCCGACCCCTTTGTATCCGACACCTTAGGATCAACCGAAGGCGACTCTTTAAAAGCTTCATTGCTGTCAGGGCGAAAGTATAGCTCCTTGCTTAGCAATGATACTACCATCTGTAGGGAATCTCGCTCCTCTTTTGTTTTATCTAGATTTCCCTTCATTAGCTGAAGTTGCTCTCGCAGAGCGCGATTTTCTTCCTGAATCCGTTGTTGATCTTGACACGATTTGCAGGTTGACTGTATTTTCCTACTGTCTGTTAATAGAGATCCATACGAGTCTTTGAGCTTGTTTACCTCATTTTCCAAGCGGTCGTAAAGAACTTTAAGGGATTTATAGCCATCGCATGTGTGACTCTGTTGTTCTGGGCTGCTGCTAGTGTCGTCCAGGTTTATAACAGCCGAAGGCCGAGGTGACGGTTGGTTGACATTCTGGCGGGGAATTTGAATTTCACCAAATCCTGTCAAAATCGATTCCTTGAGTCTTTTAACCAGCTCAGTTTTCCTGCCAGATTTGGAAAGCTTTCTTTTCTCAAGTTCGTCCCTTAGATCTTCCACCCTCAGGGAGTTGATGGGCCGTCCATTTAATGCATTCTTGATAGCAGCCATTTCACTCAATTCACAGGACGAAGAAAGCGAACCACAATCGGACACAGAAGTAGACATATTCTGGTTACTGATCCGATTAGTGGCTACCAGAGTTGAGTCAGTGTATACCTTACTCAATTCAGGCAAGGAACTGGTCCTAACAAGCTGCGGCCTGGAGAAAAAGCGATCAGCGTTTGGAGCTAGAAAAACGTGTCCGTCCACCATATTATGCAAATATTCTCGATTTTGATAATCCTAACGTTTACAAATGTAGTTAGAAGCAGTAAAGAGTTATTGTTTCGGGGATACTCATTATTTGTATTCACAGCCGGTCAGACAAGAAGCCAAGGGCAAATCTCAAAAGTTTTAGTTGCCGGCAAGAAAAAGCGACAGCCGCGGCCGCCCGGTCATTACGCGCCAAAATTGTAATCGTTGGCAACAGTATTTGAGTTAAAAATCGTCGTTTTTGTGCTCAATTATCTCACTGTTTTAGCATATACTAAAACAATTATTCACCTCAGTGTTGGTGGCTAGTCTGTAAATATCCAGGACTAGCCACCTCCACTTCGGTGAATAATTGTTATATATATACAACCAAACAGGGTATTTATTACAAAAATTAACACTATTGTGAAAAATGTGCACGCATTAATTTCAAGTACATAATAAAAGTTTGCTTCTCTAAAATCCCTGTGTTGTTTCTGTCAAATGCAAAAAAAGTACATGCGTTGCTTTTACCAGAACAGATCTCTTTCATTGAAGTATTGCCAAATTACACAGGTATCGCATTGAGAGCACATGCATGTTAAAAATAAATACAAAAAATGCCTAAAATGCTTTCACTCAGCATTGGCCTTGTCGAGTGGACACAGGCGACTTGATGTACGCTGGTGAGTTGTGGAACCATACCTACATTTTCATCCACTGACTATTACCGTCTCCTCTCCTCCTACCATACATTCTGCTTCTTGAACCAAGGTTCTGTCCTCTCCACTTTCATCCTCTTCATCCTCTACAACGGTGGTTGTTAAGTATGGCTTAGCGCTTGACCCATTGTTTCCATTCTTCCAGGTCTTCTGCACATGCAATTTTCTGTTTGTTCTTCTCCAACTACTTTATTCGCTCCAAAGTGGCCTTTTGGAAGGCTCTGACAACTTCAGGTAGGATAGGCAGTTTCAAGCAGTCATATAAATCAATGATCCAGTAGCACTCAGGTTCACAATTATGGAAATACCAGGTCATTGTTCCCTGGGCAAGTCCGAAGTTTGTTGATGTTATGTAATGTAGGCTACAGAGAGATCATCACCAGGAAAATCAGTTGGCAGTTTCCCATTTTTTCGTATTTTGTTTATTTTCGTAACAAATCTCTAATAATATAGTGCCTAAACAAGATCGTTCACTACTTTTATTTCTAAATTGTAGCAAATAAAGAAGAATTGATTCAAATATTATTGATGCAGTCAATTTCTCTTAGACTAGTCAAACCCTCGGTCCACCAATTTTATTGAAACCCTGTGTACAAAGCCACTGTTAGTTTTGACCAACATCCACAAAATTAAATTATGAAGGGAAAGCAAATTATCAGGAAGCGTGAACAAGACTGGCAAACCTACAGAGGAACTTAAAATACTACGATCACTGATAAAATTATTATTATAGTGTTATACTGTATGTTACAGATCAAAGTTCATTTCAGTTTAATTTTGATGTAATCTAAGTTATTTCTCAATTCCCCTGAAACAGAGAAAATTGAGAATCAATCCAGGTAAAAAAAACATTTTGACCCAAAATTAAAGTTGACCTGTTACATTATGATAATTAATTCTAGTGCTTGTAAATACCTGCCAAAGCTTTGGTCCTTGGCTGCGAAATGAGGCAGAACAGTGAAGTGAGCCTCGCACAAATTCAAATGTCCTCTTCCCAGTTCAGGGTGAATTACAGATTCGGCATCATTTGCTCGAAGTTCACATTCAGTTTGGTATGCTAACTGATGGAACTCACACTTGAGCACTGACTTGGTGGTGTACGCCTTTCCCTTCTATGATATCTCCTCATCCTTCTTGCATTTTCCACAAGAACAAACAATACTTGGGTGAAAATCACATTCCCCATCATCCCACTTGTGTTCGTCTTTTCAATGATGACCCCCCAGACTCCTCATACGCCTTGCATAGTCATCAGGACTCTTGCACTGCTGCAAACAGCAGAAGTGGTTCAAATGTGTACCCTGAATAAATGCATCCGACAAACAACCACAGGTTTTGCTTGTCGCTTACATGCACACTTTGCTGATTCTATAGCGAGGAATGTAGCTTTCCATTTACTAATTTGTGCAGGTGAAAAAAACTTTTGTTTGGCCAAGTCTTTCAAACTGTTTGCATGAGCCCTTCCAACATGACGCCCACACTTAAACAACCTCCTGGGCTCAGCTCCAAAAACCTCTTCAACCGACTTCTGGGAACTTGAATCGCCATCCTGCCATACCACCTCTATGTTGCAACCTTCATCTTTGCCCTGTCGGTAACATTCCCCAGCAAGAAAACCTTCCATTGATTTTGCAGTACCCATAAACAAATCATCATCCTCTGAATTTCTTCGCATACACGTATGTCCAAACCACAGTAAACCTCCCGTTAGATAATTTTTTACAATGAAAGAACCATTTTTGCTAAAATGGCCTCTTGTGTGCCAGACTCCATCAGAGGTAACAACTGCTCGTTGCCAACTTCCTAAAACATTGTTGTCAATCTTCTTCATGTTTTCCTTTTCTTCATCGCAGATTTCAGTTAAAATGTCATGAATATGAGGATAAATCAATTGGACCACCTCATAAAATCGATTCTTTGATATGCCTTGAATACCAAGACACTGGTTGAGAGTTCTATGTAACTTTGCAAAACCATGGCCAGAAACAATGAATGGCACAGCAAGGGTTAGTCCAACAAGAGTTCTCCTTAAGGCTTCAACCATAGATGACCCTTGAAAGGAGACGCTTCTCAACTGGCACCCACTACAAGCAAAGGTAATATTTATAGTTCCCCCAAGGCCCACTGTCTCACCTCTAGTGGGTATTAACTGACCTGAAAGTATAGAAAGAAATATTAGAAATAAAATGGAAGCAAACACCAGTATACTAGGGACAGTTTCGTTTGTCCAGATGAAAACATATGTAAAATTAGCGTGTATTATTGTTATCTTGATGATACACGCAAGAACTTAGCCATCACAGTTGTCAAAATTATTTCTAGTTCAAAATCAGGGAAATTTATTTATTAAACACAACGTATTGGTTTCAAGCAAGTGCGACATATAATTCTACTTGGGATAGGGAGTTACAAAACTGCCTAAAAAAATATTAGGGTAAATATAAACTCTGGTGTATTGCACTTAAACCATCACAATAAATCATTAGTCACTTTCAATTTCTGGCCTGAATCAAGTAAGAAAAGTCGAGCAAAAAAAACAACAAACTGTAGCACTTCAACAACTAAGGAAACATACCGTTGCACTTGGGTGTAGAACATCAAGAGGTTTTGTTTACATCCTCAGTGAGGACCAAGGGGACATGCCATAGTGTCCATATTATCCGGGTGTCCGTATTAAGAGGGCTCTCAGAGAAAACGTCATGAACACGTTTTGTTGATATGAAGACCAAAGCAGACAGTCTTACGAACCAAGGATCGATAGAAGTATGTGGAAAGGCAGTCGATCGGGGTGGAGGTTTGGTGTGGAAATACCATGTGTTTACATTTTTGATGGTCTTCGGAAACACGTGAATTTATTTGAACAATTACTGGACGTTAGCAACAACCCAGCAGTACGAGTGGAGGATGATCCTGGTACAGCTCGCAGCAAGCAAACAACGTCAAAGAGGAAGAAGGTTAAGAGCAATGACTGCAACAAAACGCCAAGGAAGTGAAACGTGTGTAACAGGAACCAGAAAACTTTGTTAAAGGACTATATGTAGTACAAGAGTCAAACACCGGAAGAAACACAGACTGTTCAAAATCAAATAAGTCACGCTACTTTGTTACTGTTTTTTTTTTTAATACTGTAATAAACTTTTATTCACCCATAAAAATCTGTCATTATTTGAACAGGGTACAATCTACAATTATCACATAAATGTGACACTGAAAACAGACAGTGTGCAGATAACCAGTGTCCGTAAAGCGGGGTTGACAATAGATGAGAGTGTGTGACTTGGACACAGAAAAGTGTCCATTGTCCGTATGAACCGGTGTCCGCATAGAGTGGGTTAATTTTTGAGAAAATATATGAGCTTTTTGTCGGGACAAACAAAACTGTCCATATAAAGCGGGTGTCCGTAGTGCAGGGTTCGACAAAGCTGGCGCTCCACTTCCAATGGCTCTTGCGATGTTTCCTCACCAACCGTTTTCAGCCGTTTTGGGGATGGATCTGGCTAGAACTCTGGATCCTTCTCATCTAATTCGTTCCCTGAAGACTCTGATGACTTATCCAGGCAAAAATCCATTTTTCTTTCGACCAGTGTGTCCTTGACGTTTGTTGTTGTATGGTACTTACTTTTGCCAGAAGAAATATATTTCACTGCACCGTGGTGATCGTACGATGTTGTCCATTGAGCTGAAAGTGAAAAATCGATTAAAAAACCGGCTTCAAGACCTCTAGCTTCAGCTCCCTTTTTCCCTTTATCCCTTTATCCTGGTACTTTTCTTTTTGTCCGATTTAGAAAGTTTTTTCTTCTTTTCCTGCGATGCCATATGTATAAATAATGGCATCTTTCTTGGTGTGAATGTGAGAGATGTTGTCTGATGCCAAGTGAAGTTGAATGTGTCTGCTGCAAAGAAGTTCCTTTTTTGTCACAACCGGTGGAAGGTTTGTTGATCCCGATATAATATATTTATTTAACCTCACTTTTTGTTTTCTGATGGGGTGCCAGGAACAGTATGAAAATTTACGAGGTAATTGTATTTTTAGTGGCTTCCCGGCCCATAGTCTCATAGTTGTTTCTGTCCATCCCTGAATCTCTCGAGCAATTTATCGCTCATTTCTGAATAAAATGCACTTGTTTACTATCCCAAATCGTCCGAGAAACAAATCTCTAGTCAAAATTCGACACAGTTACTCGGACACGAGTGAGAATGTAATCTTCTTTTGTTTACATATTTAGAAGGCTACAGATCAAAATTTTTGATGTGTTATGGAATATTCCATAAACAACAAGAGGCAGGAGATACATAGCTTCTTGAACTGAATGAAGTTTTGTCTCTAATGTTCTAGGCTTGACAGGTGTCACTCAACATGAAAGCTTTCGAGCTGTTTGTTTAAATGAAGACGTGTTGTGGACAGCACTAGCAAGTCTGCATGACAGAGAAAGTGCTGGTCTTCCAGACAGACAACAAGTGCCCAACAGGTATTGACATGTTATGGTTGTTTTCATGGCCGTGAAAGCTAATGCCTGTAAAATATTGGATGTTTCTTTTCGTACAATCTAATTGATATTTTAAGCACCTGAAGTTGTCTGATCAATAGTAATACAAGTTAATTTGTCTGAGGCATGAAATGAACTGCCCTGTGCTTAAATAGATGACTTTGATATATGGACGAGAGATAATTTATGCTTTTTCGCGAAAAAGATACACCATGCAACACTTTGTCATTTATTGTTGTGGTTGTAAAAAAGGTTCTTAGGGGAGGGGGTACTTAAAAGAGAGGGGTCTTAAATCGATTATGCTTTTGAAAGGGTGGGGGGCACTTATTTGATAAGAGAGATTTACATTACTATTGACTGTTACCTTGCCTGTCACCAAAACCCACATTAGGTTTTGTTTTTTGGGGGTGTGGGGAGTGTGGTACAGTCTCGGTTGGGGTGGACTTGATATCATTAGCTGCAAACCTGTGCATTGTCTCCTATGACATTTATACATTGAATATTGTTTTCTTTAAGGTCATTTCCGTATGCAGCGTATCGACAGTTCACCTGGTGGGCTCATGGCAAAAAATTCGACGTGTCATCCCCTCATGTGCAGTAAAAATTATCACGAATACTTTCGCTGCTCAAGATGGCATTACACTGGATACCTTCCTGGAGATGATGATGATGACAGTGCCTCTGACAGTGAGCTTGAACAAGCATGGAGGGACTTTTGAAATATTTAAAACATTTCCTCTTGTCAGCAATTTTTAATCAATTTATGCACATGCACAGGAAGTTTCTGATACCATGAATAATTTTATGGTTCATTTGCATGTAATAATTTCAGTAAATGACTTTTTTTTTGCGATGAATATAGATTTACTGGATCAAATGCTGCCCCCTATCAAACAGATGAATGCAAAATAACCAGTAACACCAGTCTTGATTAAATGCCACATTGGGAAGACTAAAACTCTAACAAATAAATAAACACTGAAGCATTAGATCAAGTAAAAGCGCTAACTACACAGCCAGTTAGACCAATATCAATAACTACCAAAACTTCTAGTTCTTATCATTGGCTCATTTGATCTCTGATAGTTAAAATAATGTTAATAAAACAAATTGACATTCTAACCAATCTATGTCACCCACGTTTTCTGCTATTTTTTCATTCTAATTACTGATGCTCATGATCAATTGGAATTATGTATTATTTACAACGTAAAATGTGTTCAGTTGTGTCAAGAAGTCTATTTTTCACATATTATAACAATGTAAACAAGAAACCATAGTCAATAAAATTATTGACTTTCACAAATCGAAGTAGATGTTTTTTCCTGTTAAATGATTTTAAAGTGACATTTCAAATTATTGCAGAAAATAAAAACTGGAAATCAGAGAGAAAGTTATGATCCTCAGAGAAATACATGAAAACAGAAGAAAACAGATCTTGTCACTTTTCCAATACCCAGTGTTAACAATAAGCAACCTTTAGGGGAATATTAACCACCACGTCCACCTTTTGGAGGTTTGTGAGAAAAAAGCGTTGGAATGGCGCCAGTCTTAAGCTATTTAGTCGAATTACTTGACCCCATTAATTTTACTTCCATGAGGTGAGACCTCTTCAAAGTGCTTCGAACACAGACGTGTATATTCGGGCAAGGACGTCCTTCCAACAGCATGAATCCACGCTCATTGTATTGTTGCATTATATAGAAACTTGTGAAAGCAAATTTTGGGATCCTTTTTCTTGTTTTTAGCTTGAAGCGACGCAATGCGGCATTTTGCTGCAAATTTACCGAGAGCATGGGAATCGGGCAACCATCTTACGTCATCACACCAGAGAGCCTTGCGTGCTGATCAAAATGACGATCGCAGGAAGTTTGAACTCGTGTTGAAGGCCTCTCTTGAGAAGCCAAAAAGAAAAATCTAGAGCGAGAGAAGATTTTTCTGTGCGAAAAATCTAGTTTTGGAGACTCAAAGAGCATTTTGGGTGATATTTTCTTAAAGAGTGGAGGTTCCCTTTAACGCTCATTCCACGTCTAATTATCATACATTAAGTCCCTTGGGACCCGACACTACAACTGCCAGTTTTCTTTTTTCGCTACAAATTTCACACTTATCTGCCCCTCCCCGAAGTCATTTGTTTGTAATCTGGGAGACACGTGACCAGACCCAACCAGGGTCTCTCAACGGGTAGGAGAGACTTGGGAACAAGATTGAAAAAGTTCCACTAACACTCCTTGCAGCTCAGTTATGAACGAGGAAAAAAATCTAAGATAGTTTGGCACACTCGTAATGAACACATCCACATAGTGTTATACCTACTTTGCTCTCAAAATCATAAGGAACTAAAATATTCATGCAAGCACACTATTAAAATAACAGTCTTCATTGTTAAGCTATGAACTCGACGATGTAAGGGCAAATCTCCCCACGTTTTTAAAAACATATTTTTTTGGCTGTAATCGACAGAGCCGGCAATCCTAGTCTCAAGATTGCTATTATGCATGTGTGGCATGTATAAAGCTAGCATTGGTTTGAGCTTCCACAAAATTGGATGGAATGCATAGGATGCAATCCAATCAATCTAATCACACGCATTTGGACCTTCTATTACATGAGAACTGACACAAAGCAGAGCTTCAGAACACAGGCATTTTGACAAGTGATCAATCTCATCTGAACGCTCTCTGACCTTCGGTTATAACCATTTTTTATATCTGCAGCGGCCACTCTCTATGAACAGAAAAAAGGCAGTTTTAAAGCAATTTTGAAGAAATACATGAATGGATAGGAGAATATGTATATTACAGTTGAAGTTCAATAGCTTTCACTACAGCACAGGATGGGACAGTTTTATATATTATTTCCATTTACAGCACATATAAAAATAGGTTTTGTTCGATTGTTGCTTTGTTGTTCTATACCTTTCTGTTAAATGAAACCTTGAAAAATCTTGTTTGGTTTTTAGTGTCATTAATTACTGTCATCAAAAATCATGAACCCCAAATTCGGGAGGCTGCATCAGTATGAAGTAAAAATTTCCAGTGACAAGCAGACATGCAGGGCAACCAACTTTCCTTTTCACTTAAACACATACAGTGTGCCAGTTAATTCTTTCAAGCAGGGTGTCAGAATTTGCATTTGCTGTGATTGCGGTCGGTCAGGTTTGAACAGCCTTCCGTCCAACACGGTGCAAAAGTGGGTATTACACGAGAAGAGATTAAGAATCTTTTAAAAAGCAATAGAACCCTTAGAACGAAAGTCAGAAAAACATAGTTAACATAACTTTAAGCATATACTCTTTCTTTCTTAATGCATTGTATTTTTAAAACTGCGTCTTTGGAAATAAATTCTATCTCAATTCTCTAAAACTTTAAATTCTGGAGAACTGGCTAGAAAATCTTAGGATTATTACAGCTCCAGGCCTT